CGTTGATAGCTGGACCAATTGTTGGTTGAAATGTTGCAAAGGAAATATCTGCTGAAGCTTTTCGCCAGACACTAATCATAGCAATAGGTCTGTGACATTTCCTGATTGGCTTAAGGACATGCCAATCATTGATTGCCTTTCCGGCCTACGTTGATCTGACTCATTTTATAAGCTGTACTAATTCCTATAGATCATTTTCCAGACGGTTCTGCCATGACTAGTGTCTGGCGAAAAGCTTCAGCAGATATTTCCTTTACAACATCTCAACCAACAATTGGTCCAGTTATCAACGCTATTTTTCAAGTTTTGAACAACTCGACTTTAAAGATCTACGTATCTACATGTGCCAGTGTTTCCATTTATATTTTAAAATCTGTGCCAGAACTCAGCTAACAGATGTTTCCGTATATAAAAGCTATCTTTAATATCACTGTATTTGTTGGGGATCTTCATTTGTTTGTTTTCATGCAAGAGCGTGAACTGTGTAGTAATGAGTTGTATGTTTCTTGTAATACTGTTGATTATATTTATCAAAACCTATTTATCAATTACTCTGAACTGGTTGTTCTTATAAATGTAAAAAACCTGGTACTAACTGTGACGTAATAATTAGTATGAACTGTGCTCTTGCGTTTATCAAAGTCTGTATGGAGTGGAAATAGCTCAAAGCTGGTTGCTCTGTCTATACCAATAATCATTGTATGAACAAGCTTACCCACGAAGATGTGTGAATAAAATCAACTAACTATTAATGATACAGGCTTAACTAACTTATTTTTAAAAAGTTTAAAATGAGAAAAAACATGTTATGCTGGTGCGTATAACACTTAAGGGGGGGGGGGGTATGTATGCGTATTGTTTCATCACAAGATAATACATTCACGCTTGTATGTGTGAATGTTTTCGGCCATTTCATTGTTGAACGACAGTAAACACCGACGATGTTGACGTTATCTGTAAAGATAATAAAAGCGACACAGTTATTCTATATATAGATATCCTAGTGATAACATAACAGTTCATGGTTGAACACCTTTAGAGGTGACCTCGTTATTGTTATTACCGCTCACACTCAATACGTAATAGGTTTTCTGCTGCTCTATGTAACGCGTTCTGCGATATACCTTTCGTTTCAATACACAACGTTTGATTGAAGCCACTCAATACGTAATAGGTTTTCTGCTGCTCTATGTAACGCGTTCTGCGATATACCTTTCGTTTCAATACACAACGTTTGATTGAAGCCACTGCCATCTTGCTGTGTTTATAAAACTAATATATGTTGTATACATCAGCTACCCACCGTCGTAAGGAATGAGTCCACTATATAGTAATCCTCAAAGTTTACTTTTTTTTAGTGATTTCAGAGCCCCAAAACCAAGTTTGTCATAATTATTATTATTATTATTGTCTACTTCGGTAGTGATACGTGTAAAGGTAGATACCGAAAGTAGATAAACAAACAAAAACTCTCGGTTTTTTTTTTTTGGTATTGGAAGTGATAACAAGCGTCAATATCCTTGCATGTGACCTTCAACCTTGATGACTGTAATCCCACATTTTCAAGCCTGTTTCGGGACGAGAAGGGTTGTGTGCCACAATTGGTACGGTACAAGTAATACACATTAATGACAGGATTTGGTTCTCAGGACCTTCGTTATTGCATGGAAAGAAGCACGGGAACTATTTTGACTGCCAGGTAAGTATATGACCCATTATTATATCCCCCTTTCTCTGCAGTATTTTCTTTTTTCTTTTTTACTTTGGAAACAATCATCTTTAACTCCTGACAAAAACAAAAGTTATTCTATTCGGAAGTTATACCTGACTAATAGCAGTAATCCTTGATAAAGGTTTAAAATTGAAACGTCGGGTAATTAATAGAAAAATTTCGATGATTTAGAGCTAAGGCCAGGCGTGGCCTACTAGTATAGTGTGCCGGATTGTGATTCAGAGGGTCCATAGGTAATGTCTGTTTGTACAACATGGCCATACGGACTTTTTGGCCAAGAGTCACGGTTAAATCCCACTATTCCATTATTTTGGTGTTTACAAGCAGCTGCCCCCCCCCCCTCAGTGGCAGAGCGATACGTCTACGGACTTACAACGCTAGACTCCGGGTTTCGATACCCGTGGTGGGCAGAGCACAGATAGCCCATTGTGTAGCTTTGTCATTAATTATAAATAAACAATAAATAAATAATACAACCAGCTTTCCCCCTAGTCTTTCAATTCAAAATTAGGGACGGCTGGTGCAGATTCAATTCAAAATTAGGGACGGCTGGTGCAGATATTCATTTGTGCGAACATTTGAAACAAACAATAAGAGCTAAACGTCATTTAGTTATTGTCATTGTTATTCTTTCATTTTTAACAAACAGCAGAATGTAAAAAACAACTCTGTTATTGCGATTAAAGTTGAAAAGGAATCATCATATTTACATTCCAAACGATTAAGTGACGTCCCTTGTTCTAGGACTGAGTAACCCTAAAAGTAAGTTTCACAACAAAACAGGAGGTCAAACAGTGTTATATTTTAAATAAGGTTGTTATTGTTTGGAATTAAGCACAATGGGATATCTGTGATCTGCCCACCACGGGTATCGAAACCCGGTTTCTAGCGTTGTAACTCCGCATACATACCGCTGTGGCACTGGGGGGACATTTTAGATAAGGATAATTCAAAGTTGATTGCAGATATCCTTATTCTCTTCTTAAAGACTACTTCACCAAGTTAATGAGATCCTACTTGGTTTTGATATCTGTGGATCAGTAAGCGTTATAATAGATTATTGTTTTCCATTCCGACAGTATCCTAGCGTACCCCTATATTTTGAATCCGAGAGGTCTTTGGTTCGCTACTCGAATGAAAGTCAAATCCCACTATTCGGTCAGGCAAAAAAATACTTCAACAGCTAGCGATGGGTGCCACGAACTGACTGGCTTCCCTTTTGTATATCAGCTCAAAATTAGGGACGGTTATATTCAAAAAGCCCTTGCACAAAATTCTTAAAGAACAAACGTAAACAAAAAATATTCCTAAGTGTGCTATATATTTGTAATTCGGATTTGTTGTGAGCTTTAATGATACAAAAAGGAGACCGTGACATCGAAATATCATCTGCTCTACTAGTGAAGGGCACTTCTGCCATCTATATTCTGATACACTGTGCAGTGTTACGGCAATAAACTTCTCCGCGCGGAGAACAAAAAAAGGGACAAAAGCATCTAGAACGAAGTCAACTTGACAGTTTACTGGATAAGGTGTCATGATTCTGAATAAACGAATTTTTTTAAAAATTTCCACGTTAAAATACGAGCAAAGTAAAAAACAAATATGGTTTGCCAGTATATAACACTCCTTCATGATTGCCCACTTTGATTTCATACATACATATCTAATGAAAGCAGTCTTTTTTTGGATGGATGTGTTATATCTGTTATGAAAGTTTAGGCATTTAATCAAATATTTTATCGTAGTTTGTTAAGTACGTAACAGAGGAAATAGTTAGCTACTTTCAACAGCTACAGTTTGATAAAAGAGTTACAGTTTTATGTACACAGTTTACAAATATTCCCTAAATCCACTAGTGTGTATATGCTCTGAGTGGCTAGAATTTATATTACAGACTAGGTTGTTCTAAAGAAACCGACAACGACCATTTTGACGTTATCTAAGAGTACCCGATATAAACCCCATAACCCGAGCGATTTCGGAAATTAAACTTTCTTTCTTTGTGCAGAAGTGAGTTAGCATTAAGGAAACTTTGTGATTACACTGTTCAGTAAACGTTAGAATACTTTATCTCTTATGGTTTGAAAAGTCTAACTCTATGTTCAATGAGAATGACCAGTCACGAGCATAGCGCTAGTCGCTATAGGTAAACCCGTTTCCCTTTAAGTAAGAAACGTTATATTGAACTAAATGGGATCTCAAATGAATTAGTTGACGACAAGGCGTTTTGAAACCAGAAAGCCAGTTGAACAGTTCACTAGTTTTTGATATATATAACACATCATTTCAAGTCTGTTTATTTATTTGCCCCAAATCAGTTAATTTAATGAAGTTCAGAATTACTTCGTTATTTATCCTGCCGATCCTCCAATTCAAAGCGGACCTAACTAGTAAAACAAAGTTTAGAATAGCATCTTCTATGTACTGCTTTAAACTTAAAAACTGTTAGCAGTTAATTCAAAACTGTAAATACCTTTTTATATGGGTCAATATTTCCAAACAAAGCATCCGAGTTATCAGAGAATTAAGCGTTATCGATCTACAGCAGATACTTGCAAAGCTACATCTTAAGCCTTGTCTTTATAAATAAATAGTTTTGATTTGTCTTTCTAAAAAAAATAACATCCAGAATTGCATAAAGCATCTCTTAAAGTGCTGTTATTTCCAAATTCTCAATATTCAATATGCTTGCAAGTTTGTAGTTTCAGGGGGGTTTCGCCTCTCAGGGGGACTCTTAATGTGATCACCTAATTCTAATTATTAATTACTAACAAAAATAATTAAGACTTAGATGATAATATAGGCTAGTAACCTTAACAACTATTGATATACTTTCATCACAACCTTACCGTAAGTACTTTACAGCTGTTGTTGTTGTTGTTGTTTTTAGCACAAAGCTATACAATGGACTATCTGCTCTCTGTTAACCACAGAGAACCTAACCTTGGATTATAGCTTTGTAATTGCGTAAATTTACCGCTGACCCACCCGAGGACGTTTTACAGCTACCTGAGTCTCTTTTAGAAAGAGAACAGAATAAAATTGTAACTTTTTCACTTAGTTATAGTTAGTTGTACCTCACTTGTAATTTTCACCTTGAATGGAACTTCTTTATTATTTATGAAATTGGTGTGACACAAGTTTTGAAGATCATTAGTTGTTTTTCTCGAAATACGGTATTTTTGTGAGATGTTCTTAAAACCATGCATTTGATATATCAGTATCTTTTAAACAAATAGTCAAAACTTGTTGTTGTTGTTGATCTTGGAAGCTATCAGTAATTAAAGTTCTGCTACTTGTGTACCTAGATTGTAAGATAAATAGGGAAAAGTAGGGATCGTTGGTTATTCGTAAAATTGCTATAAGAAGTATCCAAAACCAAATAAATGCTACAATGAAAAGTACACAAACAAGTAAAGTGATACTAGTTGGATAGATTTTTAAATGATTTTCAATCTCTTCTTTGGTTGGCAAATTTAGACTGCTTCGTTTAGCTATAGAGATCACAGTGTCGTTTGGAACAGCAAGACTCAGAAAGTTATATTCGTATAGCGAGATTGTTAAAAGATGCAAAGCCAAAATACATAACATGTCGAAGAATGGATCCTTCATTGTTCTCCATGGAAGTGGATAAACTCGCACGATAAACCTTGGGAACAGCAAGGCTCAGAAAAAAAAATGTCCTATGCCAATCCTAAGTACAACTCTTATCTACAAAATAAAAGCTATTGTTACGAAAGAGAACCCTCCGACTCAAAAACTCATTACGCTAAAGCTGAGTGTATCTCTCGATACTGTTAACAAGGTAATAAACGATAATTTAAAGTTGAGTTGACCAAGAGTTCAAACTTTCAGGCCACTTCGAAATTGGTAATTGTTTTCATGAGAAAGGTGTTTGAAAAAATTCGAAGCACAGCAATCCCATTCGATTCGACCTCATAGATGTCAAGTCTCGTCATTGGCGCTCCCATGGACTTTCGTGCCTTTGGTCTTATTAAAAGTGATCTTGGAAATTTATGTCTACGTACAGTGAAAGGTCTGAGGAAAGTTGTCAAGATGTGTTGTCTAAGATTGACCTCGCTGTCCTTAGCTGAAGCTTGTTACTTTGTAAATGGCGATTTCGAGAAGTTGTGCGCAACCATGACCAATAAACTGAGAATGATAGACAACGAATAAATTAGTCTCAAGGGTAGCATAGGACCTGGACCATTGGCCTTATCAAGTACATTGACTCTCAGTATATTTGGAATAAGATATATGATTTTGATGATAATATTTCAATATCATCATCGTTTTTCTTTCGTTTTATAAATCTTGAAGATATCTTTGATATACGGAAACATCTGTTAGCTGAGTTCTTGCACAGATTTTAAAATATAACGTTGATAAACGGAAACATCAGCTCATGTTGATACGTAGATCTTGAAAGTCGAGTTGTTCAAAACTTGAAAATAGCGTTGATAACTGGACCAATTGTTGGTTGAGATATTGCAAAAGAAATATCTGCTGAAGCTTTTCGCCAGACACTAGTCATAGCAGAATCGTCTGGAAAATGATCTATAGGAAATAGTACAGATTATAGAATGAATCAGATCAACGTCAGATCCTTTAGCCGATCAGGAAATGTCACAGACCTACTGAAGGATATGCAGATTGTATAGGAATTCTTTTTAGCGGCAAAGGACAGGTTTATGTGTTTTAATAAAGGTGACTTCCAAAATATAGAGATGAAAGGTCGACCGACCATTTGCAATAATTTCAAACATTCTATCCGTGTAGTTGTCAGCACGAGTCGGGTTCATTAGTAAATGCTGACCAATCGCTGAATTACATTTTGGTGGTAGAACTTTTTTTTTTACAGGAGCGAAATGTCAGTTTTTTTTACTTTCACACTCTTATTTCGTATCTGACTGTGAAAAAAAAATCCAATGAAAGTGTAGAATTCAAATACTTTTGTTACGAAT